TGTGCGATACAAGTCCAACAAGAAATAAAATACATCGACCTTCATTCAGCGCAGGGTCCACAAGATTTTACAGTATATTTACGAACCTTAGCGATGCATCAATTATCCACCCACATCTTAATTTACATCGATTGATAGAGAAGATCCTCTTAAACTCCTCACACGATTGGATTTCCCAACAGATTTAAAAGTCTAGACTCGCGCTACGCCATCCAACGTCACGTAGGCATAAATACCAGTAGGATTCGCCAATCCAGTTCTAGAACAAGTCGAGGAAAAGTACACGGTTGGCTTTGTCAACTAGTGGTACGAGAAAATAACGACATCAATAAGCATCTTAGAAATTTATACGTTAGGAATACATAGCTTGTCCGATCACAGATACATGAGGAGGAAGGTCCAACATTTAAGAACGTTTGTACCTATGTAGCCTGTAACCCCTCATATGTATATATGTGTCTTCAAGCTCATCTTTAGCTTGATCACTATTGTGACGCACGTACGTGTTTGCTTAACATCGATCAAGGGGTAATATGATTCGATAAGAAAATATTGGACGCTCATAAGCAAGGGCTGTCGCGTTGCATTAGTACACCTGGTTTAATTATTTATTGATAGTATCATACTCCTTCTTCAATAACTGCCGGCTTTGTATAGAATTTTTCAACTTGACTCAGTTCTCGGCACTGGATCGCTCATATATAAGGAAAAGCTTCAGAGCTTGATATTCTATCTTTTCATCGCGAGCCTGAAGGAAGAAGCTATAAGTGACTGTGTGCAAGGTGAATGCACAGCTTTTAATTTGTGATTACTTATTTTTGTGGGCGTGCTTGTCTGTAATTACGCGGCTAGGTGTACCTTACACGTGTTAAGTGCGATCTAGCCTGTACCCCCTCAAAGGTACATAGGCATATTCAAGTTCATCTTTGGCTCGGTCACTATTGTGACGCACGTATGTGACTACTTCAAAATAGATCAAAGGGTTATGTTATCATGTAATCAATAGCTGGACGCTCGTTATCAAAGGCTGATCGCGTAGCTTGTGCACACTGTACTACGTTGACCCATAGATTAATAGCGTCATGTACACTCTTCAGTGACTGCTATTGTATTTTTCTGGTAATTTATTCAGTTCTATGCACTCGATTACGTATATCAAAAGCGAACCCCGATTGCTCCTTATCACATAAGGAAAGGCGAGGCTCTTATAAGTAGAGGCCGATCGCGTTGACCGAGTATGCACTACAAGATTGATGCAGACATCAAAAGCATTCTTGCGAGCCGAATAATGAAGCTATCAATCAGTGACTGTGCGCTAGGGGAATTTTGAAGGTTTGAATCGTTCTTATCTCTGTATCTCTGTTGATAACGCTAGATTTACCTTATGTGCCGTTATTAGTGCAATATAGTCCGTCACCTCCGGTGTATATGAATAACGCAGGTGTACCTCACATGTCGCACTAAGTGTGATGTAGTGTGTCCTTGAGTACACTAGATTTACATTAAATGTCGTACTAAATGCGATATAGGCTTGCACCTCCTGTGTATGTGAACAGTACCAGGTGTAACTTACACGTCGCACGAACTGCGATGTAGTCTGTCACCCTTTGTGTTTGTGAGTAACACTTATTGCACCTTACACGTCATAGGACGTGCAATGTAGCATGAATTCCGTTTGCACGTGTCTAAAAATAAACGCTAGGTATACCTTACGCGTCGTTCTAAGTGCGATATAGCATATTTCACCTCTTCATTGGTCTCTGAGCATTATTTGGGAGCCTGACAGGTAAAGATATGAGTGATAGAGCGCAGCGTACGTGAATGTACAGAACCCGAGTCTCTTCTTTGGACTAATTTACTGATAATAAAGGGCGAGCTCCAGATATTGTCCCCTATATTAGCCATTATTCACTGATTGCTGTTGTATAGTGTCTTGCAGCCTAATACATTTCTCCAAGCTGGATTACGTATATTAAAGGTCTACCTTCAGGGCTTGCCCCCTGTTTCATAGTATGGACGCCTTTTCGCATAGCGACGAATCATCTATGTCCTACAAACGACTGCATGCTTGATTTTATTGTAGGATGTAGTAAGGGATACTATATTTAAGGTCTACCTTCAGGGCTTGCCCCCTGTTTCATAGTATGGACGCCTTTTCGCATAGCGACGAATCATCTATGTCCTACAAACGACTGCATGCTTGATTTTGTTGTAGGGTGTAGTAAGGGATTCATCCGCGTACATTTGCTGAGGTTGCTTATAGAGTATATCACAAATGCAGCACCAACCAAAGGCAAACATTGCAAAACCGCACCAGTCGTCAAACCAGTGCGACTTGCTGCACGAGATTAATATGTTCTACGCTAAATATCTTCATATATACAATCCTTCTATTCTTAAAAATCCACAGTAGCCACTAAGACGGTCCACCCCCCCTCCTCTCAGAAGCACCAACATTCGGCGGAGATTGTTCCAGCTCGACCCCTAACTTTGTAAGGGTATACGTATCGGTTAGGCCTCTCGTGCAGTATGCAAAAGGAAAGTTAGTAGGAGACGAAGCACATAGATTGACGGCAAGCCACCAAAATGTTGGAAAGTGATATTTCGTACCCAGCCGGATAGTAGTTGTATGCCGGTGAAGTCTGCTAGATAGTGTTGAGTAGTCCGTATTATAAGAGGTAAGAGGTAGTTCTAGAATGTTCGATGCGTAGGGAAACGTGTGGCAGCGGCAGAGGCCGCTGCACTGAGAGGTCCCACTTCGCGTTCGGTAACCCACTGAGGAGGCCCGCGGCGGCGGGCCGAAACGCGTCTGGCACGCGTCCAAAAGTAAAGTCTTTGTATCATGTGTTCTTAGTTTTCTACACAATACATTGTATAGGCTGACTTTTAACATTGACAACTAACAAATGTGACTGTGCGGCATTTGAAAATGATTACATTCAAGCATGCGCAATTTGATTTAAGTGTCAAAGCCGAAGGTACCAAGAAATTATTGACATCTGGTTTGCTGATCTATAGTCACTGTTCTCACTGTATACGATTGATTTGTGTGTTGATCAAAAGCTTGTGTGTTATGTATTTTCTTACGTAGAATGCTTTACTTCGCATCCTATTAGAAGCTACGGCTGGCCACGTGCCTCTCCTTACTAGAACTCTTCGATGATCGCGCAGGGCGTTGTATGGGTAGCAGATGATGTATTTAGGGCCACGCACCCTGTCACGCATCGTTGCTAAAGCGATCGTGCACTCAAGAACTGTAAGCCTCTCGCATAGTCTGTAAGTACCGGTTCGTGGAACAATTGCAGTGCTTTTGTACAGCAGCATAGCATGACCGTTTCTATGTCGCTGCCGAGGTATATAGCATTGTGTAGTCAACGGACGTAATCGAGTACCAGGTTTGTCATCCAGGCTTAGGCAACAACAGACATCGAGCAACGTTTGACTGTTTATTAGACATGGACTACTTTCTCTCCAATTTTTGACAACCAATTCTTGATTCTATGTCGCGATGAGCTATGGACTGCAGCTTTTGTTTAGAAATGTGGAAATGGACTCTTGTTGTGAGATTCGTTCGGAAGGATGTCGGGCACGGCGGTTGCAGGCGTAACAAAATGGCAACACCATCAATGAATCATATACACAATTCCCACGTCGAATTTCTTCGCAGTGAATTGTTGTTGCAATGGACAGCACCGGTTCAGCGTTACTAAAAACCGCGCTTGAGTCAATTGCCGCCCTTTCGCTAGACACCTCAATGTAATGATAGTAATTATTCCGTGTCATTCTACTCATGGCACCTAGAGACTTAAATTAATCAGTCACACATACAATAGCGTGATGCACATTAATTTCGTCACAAAGTGGTGCTGGTTATGCGACTGGAACGGGTTTTGCAATGTGTGCGTCTGGTTGGTGCTGGATCTGCGATTTATGCGTACTTGAACGCTAAGTGTAACGGGGTGAATCGTTACATAACAATTTATAAGAAATTGTTAATAGAAGATAACTATAAGAGTTATATTCTCAGAATATTGTCATAAGGACAAATGTTCTATAGCATTTACGAGTAGTTCCTAATTGGTTGATATAGGCCATTATATCAACAAACGAAGACGCGCCACGACAGACGCACGCAACGAGTGGCGAGCAGATAGTTGATGTGCACATTGGTATTTAGACATAGTTAGATGAGGATAAATAGTGATTTATTAACCGACATTAACTATAATAAATACAGTTCTACTTTTTACTTAAACTAAGTACTCGCTTCTTCTTACCGTCTTCCTCTGCACGTACGAGTGTACGTGAAAATCTGAGGCACCGCCTTATTCTGTCATCAGAATGAGTAGCTTGTACTGTCACCAGTACAAGCTTTAGGGTGCCCCGTTACACTAAGCGTGCTGGAGTCAAGTAATTGGCCACCGGATGGCAGGAGCAAGGGGTGCCAAGCTCCGCCTGCTATGATATCAATACCGAGAAAAGGAGATGTTGAGGCTTTGGAACACAAGGTAGTCTGGTGTGGTCCTAGGGCCCAAAATTGATCGAAATCGACGGAGCGCAAATTACTGACCACCCTCTTTCAACAAAATTTGGCTTTTATGATCTTTTCATTGCGTGATATCAAACCGTAAAAACGTTTGACGCATTTGCAGTACAGACTAGAAACATCCATAGTACAATTTAGCCCGTCTGTATCAATGGGCGACCTCCAGAGCTTTGCTCCGCTATCGTGTATTACAAACGAAAGAGATAGAGAGTGAGGCTGTCAGCCGGAACATCGGCCTCGTTTTCGACCAATCAGAGCAAGAGATCAACATCGAAAAATCTGAAAGCGCAAAGCCGCCCTTCAAATCAAACAGCATAACCTACCAACCAGCAACCGAACCGATCCAGCCTCCAAAAAACCTCGCGCGCGCCCCCCCTCCCCTCCTGACCCATCAAGTATTGCTCGACCAAGCAAGTCTCAATCCACTCGTCGTACAACTCGTCGTCGATCCAGCATGACGAGTCCACCGCCACCGCCACCTCGGCGCGACGGCAACAAGCTCGAGCTCGTGACCGTCGAAGAGCAAGAAGAGTTCCTCGAGGTGCTCAAGCAGCTCAATCTGGCCACGCCACCGCCGCAACTGCAGCAGGCGCTGCCCGACCGCAACTCGCTCGCTGCTCAGAAGGATTTCAAGTTCTGGAACACGCAGCCCGTGCCGGCGCTGAACGAGTTCCCACGGGAACACGGGGCCATTGACCCACTCAAGAGCCTCTCGGACGTCCGCCAGGAGCCATACACCATGGCCCCGGGCTTTGTCTGGAGCGAGCTGGATCTTTTGGACGCACAAGCTGCGCAAGAAGTGTACGACCTGCTCACGCAAAACTACGTGGAAGACGACGACAACATGTTTCGATTCGACTACTCGGTGGCTTTTCTCAAGTGGGCGCTCACGCCGCCAGGGTACCATAAGCACTGGCACGTGGGGGTCCGCAACGCCAAGACGAAGAAGCTCATGGCTTTTATCTCGGGCATTCCTGTCCGCACGCGTGCGTACAAAAGTGTCATGGCCATGGCCGAAATCAATTTCCTCTGCGTGCACAAGAAACTCCGGACGAAACGACTGGCGCCAGTGCTGATCAAGGAGATTACACGCCGCGTGAACCTGTGCAACGTCTGGCAAGCAGTGTACACGGCTGGTGTCGTGCTGCCGATGCCCGTGGCCCAGTGTCGCTACTTTCATCGATCTTTGAATCCCAAGAAACTCATTGAAGTGGGCTTCTCGAGACTTGCACCGAGGATGACGATGACGCGGACGATCAAGATGTTTAAGGTGCCGGAGACCCCGAACGTGCCGGGGTTCCGACGGATGGAGACGAAGGATGTAGCTCCTGTGACTGCGCTCGTAACGACGTACTTGGCCAAGTTTGACCTTGTGCAGCACTACGACGAGCACGATGTGGCCCATTGGATGCTCCCGCGTGAGGGCGTGCTCAGTGCGTACGTTGTGGAGAACCCCGAGACGAACGAGGTCACGGACTTTACGAGCTTCTACCACTTGCCATCGACTGTGATTGGCCATGACAAGCACAGTAAGCTGAATGCTGCTTACTCGTTCTACAACGTGGCTACGACGGTCTCGCTGACAGAGCTTGTTAATGACACGCTGATCATGGCCAAGCAGGAGGGCTTTGACGTTTTCAATGCACTCAACCTCATGGACAATGCCGAGTTTCTGCAAGAACTCAAGTTTGGCCCTGGCGATGGCGACCTCATGTACTACTTGTACAACTGGCGCTGTCCGCGCATGGAGAGCAACAAGGTTGGCCTTGTGTTGTGCTAGACCGCGTGCACCTTGGCTGGAGCTGAGATTCGAACGCTGAGCTCAAGGACGAGATAGATGGTATAGGTACAGACTCTGCAGGATACGATCGCCGTGACGACATACATCCGGGCTAAGGACGTGCGTGAGCTATGGATATCGAAAGAGAGCTACAGACAGACGATTGCTGACTTGGTACGTGTTGCAGAGGATCCAGTTGCTTTAGTGGATGCGTGCGTATGAGCGCAGGTCATTCATAAGGTGAAGCTGGTGGAGCAAGTAAGTATTCCTACTTTGGTGGATGATGATACTCCGTCATTTAATGCAGGGAATACAACGCACTCGAGCTTGGTGTCGCTCGTCTGATTCATGATACGACCGACCGTGAAGTCATATATGCTAGCATCTGCGTCAAAAAGGGCGGTGATTCTGGTCGCCACAATGGACCGTTCACTCAGCTACCAACCAGTGCGTCCAACACACCGACTCTGCGCATAGTCGGGAAGACTTGAGCGAATGTATCAAGTCGACCCACGCCCGTGCCAAACTTCAGTTTGATCGTCGTCACCCACCAAATCAAGCTGAAGCTGGTAGAAAAGACGGTAAGGTCTTGCGTGTGTGTGTGTGTGTGTGTGTACGCCACGTCCATCTCTCTCGAAAGCGTCGACGATTTTCGAGAAAAGAGCGGTAGCTTTGCACACGTCACTCGATCAACGGCCTATTCTAATGGACCCAAGTGGTCCAAGAATCGAAACAGGCAGCTGGAGCTGACGTCAATCAACGCTGCGCTTCTGACCTCTCAATCGCTTGACAGACTCGTGAACGAACGGGACGTGGGCAGTGTGTATATTTTTCTTCCTGTATAGATCGAACGTAGCAGAAGGTGGTGACAAGACGCAGTCGATCCATTCGGAAGCAATCAACCGTGTTGACGTTGAAGACGTGTACGATACTCGGATTCGCATCAGCTAGTGAGACTCGTCTCGTGTTTGGCATCAGTCTCCATGCTCTGGACGGGGTCAACACTTGGTAGGCAAGTCAAGCTGTGTCGGTTCTTTCTTCCGCAAGGACGTACCGCAATGTCGTCTCGTTGCAAGTTCTGATCGCGTCTTCCCTGCACAGGAGCAGGACGTTTTTCGTGTGGGGAAGCTACCAGGCTTCCTGGTTACCCATCGTGGGTACCTCCCACCACCAACTGAACCATCAATTGAGCTGGAAGTGCACACGACTGCAGCAGGAGCTTCGTCGCTCATCTGATCGGCAGCTTCCAGACGACATCAAGCGAGGCAGGAGCCAACTACCTCCCTTGCTCCATATGAACAGCTACCAATTCGTCCCTGAACCGCACGCTCGTAGCACTCGGCAACAACAGGGGATACGGTCGAACAAGCGCACCAACTGCAAGAGCTACACGCTTCGAGCCCTCGCCACGCATGTTCGTCACGAGATCCCTCTCCACGTGAGTGTATCAACAGCTACAAGGCAAGAGGACCACGTGGCGTACAACTGCACGGTCTCGAGCGTGACGACCCGAACGAGGTGGAGGGTCTCGTACCGCTATTCCGAGTTCCTCGCTCTCCGTAAAAAGGTGGAGGATTCGTGGACGTGCAAGGCCAAGGACTGCTGCGGGTCGTGTCAGGCTATTCGTAACGCCACGGCAGCTTTTTTTCCAAAGAGACGCCCAGCAATGATCTCGAAGTGGTCTCAAGCGATCAAACATCGTCGAGCGAAGCTCGAAAACGTGCTGGTGCATTTGCTTCGATGTGTCCTGCTGCCAGGTAGTGCAATGAAGTGCGCTCATGCGCGTCAGAAACTACCGCCTCATGTGTTCAAGTTTCTTGGTGTCAAGCGTGACGCGGATAAGCGCTCACTGCTGCATGTGTTTGTAGACAGTTTCCAGTCAGGTATCAAGAACTTGGCGGTTGTCACGGACGTCTCCATGCTGGAGCATCAACATCCGATGAAGAGAAGGTCAACTTCCTCTCACTTGTCGTCTCTACTTCCAAGAATGTCTATCGGAGCTGATCCGACAATTGCAGCCCAGTGCGCCATTTGTCTTGACGCTGTGAGCTCGAGTACTTCTACTGAAGTCGATGCTAGCAGTAGCGACAGTCCGATCGCCTTGCAGTGCGAACACACCTTCCACCGCACGTGCATTTTTGAATGGCTGCTGTTCCAGTATGACTGCCCAGTGTGTCGAGCTCAGGTGGGGTTTTCTGCTGTGACCAACTACTGCCGTCCGAAGAATCAAGTCCAATGGTGGCTCAGCGACTTTAAGGAGAACCCGCTGACTTCAACAGCCCTGTAAGCCGTTGTTAGCACATGTAATAAACAGGCCGATGATCAAAGCGACTTGCGAGGTAGAAGAGTGTGCAGAGTGATGTTATAGTTGGTGAACTCAAGTCAAGTGGAGGATGCTGTGTGTCAAAAACGCATACCAATTTAACGTGTTAGTCGGTCGAGCCACTTGCTTGGCTGGACCGCCTCACTTCAACTGCTATAACTACATCAAAAAGTGCGCGTCGAGAACACTGCCACACTAGGTAAGCATGGAAAACTACATTGCCGTAAGCAGAGACGGTGCCGAGTTGTCGTGCAAAGAATTAAATTATCGCTTACTCTCCAAGAGTGCGCAAGCGCCTTACTCAGCGAGTGGGTTCTGCTTGAAGTTGCCGAGCCACCATTGTTCCTGCATCTTTGGGCACGCGTAGTTCGTCATGGCGTGCGGTCCAACCTGAGCACGGCACATGGGGCAGTGGTACTGAAACAGCAGCCACTCGAAGATGCACTCGCGGTGATACGCGTGCTTGCACGGGAGCGTCACAAGACCCTGTGGACCAGCAACGTGGACGTCTATCTCCACGACGTCGAGACAGATCATGCACTTGAGTTCCTCCTGGTTGACCGCTGCGCTCTTCTCTTCTGCATCGAGCTCCATCTGAGCCAAGTTTGGCGTCGTGGCAGACTTGACCATCGAAGTTTTCGTAGCTGCAGCTTCGAGTGACGACAGCGACGAATGACTGGACGATTTCTTCATGCCACTCTGGTGGTTGTCTACATACACCTGCAGCAGAGACCGCTTGTCTGCATTGTCTTCAATGCCCAGGAACTTGAACAGAGCAGGAGGGAGCTGCTGGCGGGCATGAAAGCACTTCATCGTACTGCCTGGAAGCAGCACCGATCGCAGCAAGTGGATCAGCACGTTCTTGAACTTGTTCTTGCGGTCCCCGACCATGAACGACCAGGTGGACATGGGACCGACTTTCTTCGGGAAACACGCCTCCATGAGGTCACGGAGGGACTGACAGGACCCTTGACACCTTCCATCGTGGCACGTCCACAGCTCTTCCACTTGGTTGCGAAATGCCAGGAACTCCGAGTACCGGAACGAGGCCTGGCACCGGTTCCGTGTCGACAAGCTCGATGTCGTGATAGTGTACACGGCATAGCCTTCCTCTTTCTTCGTGGCGCTCACACTCAGACGAAGTGGCAACTCGCTACCAGTGCACTGCCGCAGCTCTTTCAGCGTGTAAATCTTCGACGCCGGGCGTGTCGGTGCTGGAGTGGTCGGTGGCTGGTCAGGTACAACGTATCCGTTCATAATGGTTCAAGTGACTGCGTCAAAAGGTGTGCGAACGCTAGTAGTCGATCGGCTTTTCGTGACGATCGATCGGAGCTCTTGGTGGTAAATTCCCAAATGACATTCAAAGGAGGAGGTCTCCACCCGAATTCGCGTGGCGGCGAATTCGGATGGCTACTTTGTGCCGGTCCTTTTTCTGCTCCCAAAGGGGTGACAGACAAGGACGCTGGTAAACATGAGACAGGAGCCTGACTGGCTGCGACATGTGTGACGCGCGTGACGCACGTGCTCGAGACTCCTCGTCCACCGTGGTACGAGGAAATTGATTGGACCGTGGCGACGCGTCACACGCTTTCGTGCGTAGGCGACGCCAGCAAAGCGCTGTGTCTCGCAAGACGTTTGCAACAGACGCACGCCGTGCGAACGTGGTAGAGTAGAGCCACTTTGGCACGAAAAACGGCAGCGGTGTAAGGCACGTCGTCTGCAAGGAAAACGCTCGAGGTGTTGGGGATGAAGTCGAGCTCGAATAGCTCTCTCTCTCTCTGATCCTTGTCAATTGACGAGTTAACACACACGCACTAGTTGGGGCTGAATACTCGAAGATCGAGGGCTTCGATGATGATGATGATGATGATGATGGAAGTGAGACGGTGTTGAATTCATTGACACATTGAGCCTAATCGAGTCAATAGTGGCGGGAACGTACTTCAGATCGGGTCAAGTCCCGCTGTTTGTTGGATGCGTTTTCTTGCGTGCGTCAGAAGGCGCGACAGCGACCGATGGATGGCGATGGGAACGCGGACGAATCTTGAAGGAGTCTGTCGTCACGGATCCAGACGGGTCCGTCGTCGTCGTTGTCGGGTTTGCGACAAACGCCTTCGTGCGATGGTCATCAGGAGTGACTCGCGGTGCCGATCGAATGAACAGACGAAGCTTTGTGGACCAGTGGTCTGGCCACAAGACGAAAGAAAAAACGGACAGGTTTCCGGATCTCGGTCTGCTGATGCCGTGCTCAGCCCCAGCTGTTGAGCTTCCAGAAAAGGAGCTGTTCACTTGACTTGGACGGTATGACGACCTTTTTGTGACGGGACGACGTGTGCTGCTGTATAGCATGATAACTAGGAAACACAGACTAATTTGTATAGCATGATGGCTAGGAAACGCAGACTGGTTTGCCCTGGGTACGCTTTACCTCTGCAGTTTGCAAAGGCCGTCATTATGCCTGCTTCCTGGCATGGTGAGCTGGACCGCTTGCCCTCTCTGAAGCATCTTGTCGAAAGGTAGCTGTAAAAGTTGGTAAAAAAAACTAAACTGTAAAAAAACGACACGGAATAAACCAACAATTTTTGTTTGCTTAACCAGATACATCAACCACCATGCGCTACAAAATGCTACTCGAAACATAAACAACTCGTATCCGCACGAGCACTGACACCACCATTCAACAATCACCCGCCGTCAACTTTTGGCTCCTGCAGCGCAAGACTCGCCTCGTTACCGCAAAGCACAGCAACGATTCGGTTGAATTCCGTCCGCAGCGTATCGGAGTCCAACGCCAATCGATACTCGCCACCCATCCCGTCCGCTACGCGTTGTAGCACCGACAAGTTCATCCTGCCGAACCCCACAACAAATGCCTTCAAGTCGTATTTTGCGTACATCGAGTGGATGTGCTTAGCAAGCGTAACCCCCGGGTGGAAGTCCCATGGTTGGCCATCCGAAAAGAAGATCAAAGTAGCCTTGTACTCCTTGAAATCATTTCGGGACAACACTTCATTGGCAGCGCGCAAGCCCTGCTCAAAACTAGTGCCCCCGCCCGAGAAGGGCACATCCATCACATTCGACTCGTGTAACGGCACCTTCTCACAGAAGATGCGACTCTCATGGTCAAACGTGACGAAAGAGACCAAATCGTCTTTCCCGCCATCCTTCAGTCGGCTAGTGACAAATTCGTTGCACGCGTACAGCAAATCTTGCCACGGCTGGCCACTCATCGACCCCGAACTGTCAAGAACGAAGACATTGTGGAACCTGCCCGAATCAACAGCGTGCACGCACTCAAACTTGTGGCCGTCGATGTAAGCAAACTTCTCATCACCCTCTTCTGGTCGTATTTCCGGCTGGTGCCAAGCCTCCAGAACACAGTACGAAGGTAGCTTCCCTTCTTCCTCGTGTTCAGGCGCATTGCACTGGAAGCGACACATTGCAAACAGAGCTCGCTCGTTGTCGTTACACGGGTCCGCCCACCCTATTGTGGACCAAAACTTTGCATGCAGCAATTCGTCCATCGCTCGCTCTGGCACTGGGTACAGCGTGCCTGTACAGTGGCGACGCTGGTCTTGGCTGACAATGCTAGCGCCTCCCCCAGCATAAACACACCTCTCATCAGCGGAGCCCTCGCACGACAAGTAGTGCACATGGCCACGACCCATTTTTGCACAAAACAGATTGCACATCTCGGCGGTTCCCGACTCGCCAACTTTGTACTTGCGCTCTCTGACTTCAATATCAGTATCTTTGGCTAAAAAGTAGGTCGAGCGCATGTTACCGTGTGAGGTGTCATGAAGGCCCATGTGGCCAACGTCTTTGTTACAGTAATAACTGCAGCACGGGCAACGCACATCACAGAAGTGAAGTATGTCTTCTCCGTTTTCATCGTCCAAACTTTGGGCCGCACAAGAATGCTCGAAACCCTCGTGGTCTTTCTTACCAGCAGCTATGACATGCTTACAGCGCTTTTTGCTGCCGTTCATCTCTTGGTGAATATACTCGAAAGATCCCCGTGATCCTTTAAACGTTCGAGATGACTTCTTGATGTGAACCTTTTGCTCACAAATTCCATCCAACGTACACATTTCACCACATACATGGTTTCTGTCGCAAATGTGCGTGACTTGTGCAGGAACGACGGCTTCATCAGAGCCCTCACTGACATCTGCTACATGTGACATTCCACTTTCGATAGCGAAGGCCCGAGATTCAGTCGCTTGCCCATGGAAATGATTCTTCTCGCAACACAATGCTTCACACGACTTCATTAGGCATGGATGGAGACATCGCACCTCGGCACACTTGTGAATTGAATGCTTCCGCTGAATGTCAAGCAGACAAATGCTTTTGCATGTTGCAGCTGAGCAGATAGCACCACAAACGTGCACTTGCACGGAACAACGATGGTCACCAAGGTGATCCGCTAACAACGAGCAAGTTTTGTCACAGTTCGGAGCTCGAGCCAACGTACACTTCTGTCCACAGCTGTGGTCTCCCTTCCTACATTCGCACTTTCCTTCGTGGCCTGCACAACGAGAACACGCGGGCGCCTCTTCTGGTCCAGCTGTGCATTCGTCATACTCACAGAACCCCAGGCATTTGTGCTTCGTACTGCAATCATGTTGACTCTCGGCTGTGTGTATCACGGACCGCATGCACCCAAGCTGGCAGCTGGCGCACCTGTGCTGGCAACGAGCGAACCTCAACTTAAATGGGGCTATATAACGCTGTTCCAATTGGGCCCGTGCCTTAGCCGATTCATCATCCAGCAGATCTTTCAACCATCGCTCCACCTTCATTGTACGCCGGCGCAGTGTAAATCCCAAAAAAGTGTCAAAAGCAAGCTGGTCACCAATAGATAGTTTGGAACTGTCGTACTTTTTGCCTCGGAGGGTCAAGAAATGCTGGAAACGTAGCACCAAAGCCCTCTGGATGGTACTAGAATTTGTGCCACCAGGCATAGTCACGTCGAATCCGAAATCCAACGATTCATCCTTGATGTCGTCCAAGGCCACCAAATCGTTTACGCTTCGCCACATTGGAGCAAATTCAGGATACGCTTGGCATGCATCCTCCATCAATATTACAATCTTTTCGCTTGATCCAATGCGAACGACATCCTCTTTCAAATGGAACGGAATTGACGCGCTTGTCACTAAAGATTGTGCAACATGACATCCCGTTCGTAGAATTCCTGGCAGCTTTGCTTCTGCATCCACGATCAGCAAATGTTCCGTATCTGTTCCCATGCTGGTCCAGTCCAAAATCGAGATTTTCGACAGTACCAACCGGAGGCAGTCCAGAAAAACCTTTCCTGTAGCAAAGCCCGCCAGCGGTCGATTTGAAAGGCTCACAATCTGGCACAGCGTTTCCAGTACGTCGTTTTCCATGCTCTGATAATACTCTACAGTACCAAAAGGTGGGGTGCAATTGATCACCAGCTGACCAGCATACATCTCCGTCAGGAAATTCTGGGCCTTGTTGGCTTCAAAAATCAGATCGAGCTTGACAGAAAGCTCGTCAACAACTCCCTGACGATCGTTCATGTTCACGTCCTTAACGCTCATCAGCAAGAGTCCCCGGAAAAGCTTTGGATCCTTCTTCAGTAGCTGTACCCCCTTCTGAAAACGAGAGAACAAGCTGTCAACATCTTTGTCAAAGCGACTGTCCATACGGAACACAGTAAGCTGCGACACCGAAGCATTGAGTACAGAGAGAAAAACATCTTCTTGCTCTGATCTTTCGAATGAACCCAGACCTTCGAAATCCAAAACGACAAGAAGGATATCACTCGACAGAAAACGCACTGACATCCATACCCCGTCTGTGCAACGAGACCCCGCAATCGCAAACGTAGTCCCTGTGAGGTGATTGAGAAAATAGCTCTTTCCCGTCGACTGTTTTCCCATGGACGTAACGACCACGCAACGTCCATTCCAAGACTCCACAAGTGGTGACAGCAAACCAAAGCGAATCGACTGAGCAATCTCAGCTGCATTACTTCCGGATGGCGCATTCCCGCTTTTGCTCTTTGCCGCATCGGTGGCACTTTTTCCGTCTTGCAACAGATTCAGCAAATTATCTTCTGCACGGCAGATTTGAACTGGTACGAATGAGACGATGGCTGTCAGCACTTGACGAACTGGTCTTGTCTGATACGCATGTCTGCACATAACGCTCTTCGTCAGGTCTAGTCCAAAAAGCGGTTTGTTGAGCCGTCGAATATCGACCATCACCTTGTGAAAATACTTTTTGCAGACCGCAACGATATCGTCTCTGTCCTGCGTATCAGCAGGCGGGGACACAATAATTCCGATGTCCAAAGGAAACGAGTCCTGTCGGAGCAAGGCCTGATCAACCAAACACCGTACCGGAAACTTCTCGAACACGTGATAAAACACCCGCAACCAGTGTTCCGATGCGTCATCTGACGCGTGTTTGCCTGCTACACGCCCTTTTGGAGTGGGTCTAAACCCGTTGCCAGATCGCTGAATTCGAAAAGCATCACTCCGGACGGTGACATTCAACTCGTATGCAGAGATCTCTCCCTCGTTGCCAGCGCAGCCCACTCCAAGTCCTGTTGATGCCTCAACCCCGAGTCCTGTTGACGCCTCAACTCCAGACATAATCACGTTGGGCAACTCTCGGTGATCATCACTGGAAATGAAATTTACAAGGATGGTACGGTCCTTCTGGACACTCGCTCGCCCGACGACAAGCTCGTCTGCGAAGTTCATCAAGCCACCTATCCACTCACCCTTACCAAGTGAGGTCTTCTTTGACGTTTGATGCGATCGCACATCATACGACTGTACGTCACCTTTGACGTCAACAGCATAGATTAGTCTTTCCGTCAAGAGAATGTCCATCAGGGGGGCTGTCAAACTGAATGACGTGTCCAACTCAATATTTCGCATCACATCGATTCTCGTGAATGCGTCGTTAAAGCGGCACACGGCAGCTTTGCCGAGATTCTCACCAAACACGAACGCAACTCGTCGATCTTGAGCACGTATAGAACAGAGTGAGCAAGCATGCGGAAACGTCCGCACGTCGTGTTGTTCAACCCTTACTTCTCCTGATCGGTCCGCTTGAACGTCGAACTGAATGCGTCGAACGACTGTACTACAATCTTTGACAAGAATCGCGACAACCTGACTCGTCTTGACCGTTGCTATCTTTATCAGCTCCATGCCGGGATCAAATTCAGCAGTCCCAAGCAACGCCATTCCAGTAAGGCTGCTACTGGATATGTCGTACAGACGGATGACCTTTGAAGGCACTTTCTCCACTTCCTTTCTCCATTCGACGTCAACTTTAGCTTTGTTAAAGGTCAGTTTTCGAATGGTAATTCTTGACCGCAGCTGTCGACCAACAGAGGTCAACAGGCGTATGCGTAGCTGTTCAAAAGCTGCATTCTTTGTACCAGCTTGCGCCTGATACAATTGTGTTCGTAGTTCCGCTGCACGTTGCCGAAGATTTTCCGTTTGCATCGCAGACGACAGTATGGGCATAACACGTGGCAACGCTTCGAGAAAATGGTTTTGCAGCCTTAGCTGATGCCGCTCCATCGCGCGCCGAAATTTGGGTTTGAACTTCGGCGTACCAGGCCATGCCCTCCCGATAAAACTCCAGACAGATTGGGTGTACCCAGAGAGCCAACTTTGATTGCTAATGGAAACAGCAGCCATACTGTCGGTTTCAATGCCTTCGACCACTTCCTCAAGAGCTGCAGGCCTGTGTTCGAATACGTCAGCTAGCAGCTCTAGATTGCTTTGCAACCTACCGGGCAACGTGAGTGCTGTGCATATCTGATCGTTAAGTCCGTTCATCACCTTATATCTGTTCAGCTGTTCCAAGAGATGGTCGTAATGTTGACGAGCTAATTGATGCTCTAAGTCGTCTGGGGGGCATGGGATCGCAAACAGCAGTCGACTGTATTCGACAGTTGTAATGTACATCTCTTGGACGAAACACTCCACATGTTCATCAACTGATTGTTTTGCTCCTGCTATTTCTCCATCCAGTCGCACTTGCAACTCATCGAGGCAGGACTGCGGAAAATAGCCGAACTTTATGAGCACACAATCGCGCACGGTCACAGGCAGTAAATCTCCATTTACGAGCTCTACCGCATGATCCGCATGCTTTTCTAATAGCCAGTCTGCAAACGTCACACAGCTCAATATCTCATCTTGAGAGACCCACTCTGTAACTGATGGTGTAGCACTTTCGACCGCAATGGCCGGGAACACCCCACTGACAATCTGAATAGTCTTAATGCTATCAGCGTGAGGGACAATTGCCTTCACCGGCCCGGTATAGCAAATACAGTCACTCTGCTCCATATGTTGTTTTACTTGGAATTGAACCGAGCACGATTGCCATCGCATGCTTGCACTGTCAAGCCCAGCGTCTGTCACATGTTTAACACATTCATAATCGTTGCGAGATAGGCAGCACGTGATGTTTGAGCTGACAGACAGCAAAAACCGAAGCACGTACGCAGGGGTTTCGCGTATCGTTTCAGGTCCAAAAAGGTTCGCACGAAGCCACGAGAACACAAGGAACCGACGTCCGTCTGTAGATTGGTTGCCGCACTCAAGACAATAGACACCCTGATCTTGATCGGTGATAAGATTTTCACAATCTCGACTCCAATATCCCATTCGATCAAGCTCAGCCTTCACTTCTACCTGTTTACCGAACAAACAGCCTACCTCAAACTGTCCATCATTTGCTTGATGATCACTATCGTGGTGTCCATCGCAATTGCCTTGAGTTACAAGTTTGTCACGAATGAAACGTCCGAAGTCAGCGTCAAACTCGCTGGGGTCAAATTTGCCGAGCTCGAACGCAGCTCCATCACCTCTACTAGACGTAGACATGCCCAACGAACGGCACAAGCGAAGTACGCCAACTTCGTCCACAATGACTTTAATCACTTTCGAGTCACTTTGTAACTCCTGCTTCAGACCTAGCAGACGGAAAAAATCATTTGACGCAAAACTGCGTCGAGCCTTCTTGCGTGTCATGCTTCCTGTCTTCTTTACGCTGTATAGCAAAAACAAAAATGATCAATGGGTAGCTGTACGCAGATGCATGGTTCTTCCGTTGACAGTTTAACATGGTTTGCTTGCCCGTTAAAATACTTGCACAACCGTAAGATGCAAAGTCGCGACAAGAACACGCTACGTAGTCCATTTCCATTTGATCAAAAACAGAGCACGAACGGAACAATATGCTCTGTTCAAACGTGCTCCACTCGCACCACTTGACCCCTTTCGCTCTTCCAACTGTTAAAAGGAAGAAAAACTGGAAGGCATCATTGAAGTGCCAAGAAGGATTTGTTCAATCGACACACGCTTCTGCTCCAAACTGTCGCGGTCGCGAACTGTCACACACTTATCCTCCAGAGTATCAAAATCCACAGTTAAGCACATTGGCGTGCCAATCTCATCTTGGCGACGGTAACGGCGACCAATGCTTCCTGCAACGTCGTAGTCCACGCTGGCGCTTCCACACAAATTTTCAAAAAGCTTCTGAGCCACTTCCAACAGAGGTTCCTTCTTCACAAGAGGTAACACCGCAAAACGGTACGGTGCGATATCCGGATGCAAACGCAGCACAGTGCGCTGCCGACCGTTCACTTCTTCTTCATCGTAGGCATCCAGCAGCATCGAGAGCATGACACGTCCAACACCCAGCGCTGGTTCGACGACGTGCGGCAAGAACTCCTCCTTTGCAACGAGGTCCTGATACTTGAGATTTTTTCCACTCGCGTCCATGTGTTTCTTCAGGTCATAGCTAGTGCGATTCGCAATGCCCCACAACTCGCTCCAGCCAAACGGATACCTGAACTGAATGTCCGTTGTAGCACGAGCGTAGTGAGCCAATTCCTCAGGCGCATGTTCGTGTTTCCTCAGGTTCTCGGACTTGATGCCGTACTTGGTCAAAAATTCGTAGCACTGGTCCACCCAGTAGCGATACCAGTCGTCCGATTCGTTCGGGTGCGTAAAGAACTGCAGCTCCAGTTGCTCAAACTCGCGCGTGCGAAACAGAAAGTGGCCAGGTGAAATCTCATTGCGGAAGCTTTTGCCCATTTGTCCAATGCCAAACGGCAATTTCTTGCGCATCGTGCTCTGCACATTGGCAAAGTTAATGTAGGCACCTTGTGCTGTCTCCGGACGCAGATAGATCCATTCGCACGTCTCGTCCGTAGCGCCCATGTTGGTGCGAAAGAGCAAATTGAACTGCTTTGTCGGCTGGAAGCTGCGCGTGTGGTGGCAGTGAGGACACGGCACGTCGAGCTGGACGAGCAGGGCGTCCATTTCGGCCAGTGACAGCGATGTGACGGCGTCAACGTCTTGCAGCTCGGCCTCAAGCAACTGGTCCACGCGGACGCGGGAGTTGCAGTTACTGCAGACCGTCATGGGGTCCGTAAAGTTCTTCACATGGCCAGACGCTGTCCAGACGGCCGAGTTGAGGAGCACCGAGCTGTCGAGACCCACGCAATTCGGACGTTTCTGTACAAACTCAAGCCACCAGCGATCCATCACGTTCTTCTTCATTAGTGCGCCTGCATTAGTGCAGCAGGTAAAATGGACACGGCAAGACAGTGAGATCAGCAGACACATCGAAATGGACAGGTAGGTACGCAGATGGATTGGTAGAAAAGTCGAGGAGATAGATAGATAGGTGCATAACTAGATGAAGATAGATGGGGATGAAGAGGAAATGGTGGAGGACGTACCCAGCGGTCCATAGTCAAAGCTGTTCGCGAGGCCCCCGTAGAGATCCGAGCCAGGGAAGACGAAGCCGCGGTGGCGACAGAGCGCTACGACGCGTTCCTGTAACGTGTTGCTGGTCGCTGTCGTGGCAAAGCCGCGGCTGAGGGCGCGAGAAGCGATGGCACGGCGGGGCATGATGTCTGTCTGTCTGATTGTGGCAGTGGTGGTGGGGAGAATGGCTACAGAAATGGATGTAGCCATTGGCCGCGCGTACGAATAGCGTGTTTTCGGATTGTGCGTACAAATAGGGCGATGGACCGTGCGTACAGATGTAGCCACACACGGTGCGTACAGTTTGGAAAACCGAGCTGGATGAGTGCAAGGACATTGCTGCGTTTCTTACTGCTACACGACCGAGTGGAGACGGTGGAAGAATGGGCTGACGAGCTAGAAAAGGAGAAACAGGTACATGTTTCTACATATACTGATGACGAGCAGGAGGGCTGTCGTTATCGTGCGTCGCTGATCGTCGGTGCCATCGCCGACGTCGTACCGCATTTACCCAATTACAGCGCTGTATCGACGAACTTAACAGCACTGATGCGCTATTGCGAAAAAGTGTACGCACGTCAACTCGGTCAACTTGTGCAGGGATGGTTGCAGCAGCCTCATAGTACAGTTTTTCGAAAGTGGCTCGTCGGTGACTGGCTACAGTGTAGCCATTTCACAGCAGCTGCTGATATGGAGGAGCTACTGCAATGGAGACACGCACTGGTGGCGGCAACGGTCCACGAGGTGGTCAAGTCTCTCAAATGGACTTTACTACGGACCCTGAATGCAGTCAACGAGACGATTGCAACTCAACGTAAAGACGACCAAGAAGAGAAAGTGGCAATTGGGACACCGATGGCTGCAACGTTGCAGTCGATCGAGACCGTCGAGGAGCTGCTGGACTTTTGTTTTCTACATGCTGAGCAGCTTGCAAGTTCCAGTCTCGTTTGTGCTGCGAAGTTGCATGCACTAGCAGTGAAGACCCAGCGGAGCGCAACAAAGCTCCTGGAGGACGAGGAGGTGCTGGTGAGGTTGCGGTGGGCGTTCCTGCTGAAGCCACTGCTGTTTAAACCTCTGCTGCAGCACGCAGTCGCATTGAAGACTATCTCCGGCAAAACTGCAGCACGTCAAGTGTGCACGAGCCCGGTGCTGCCGGGCCTTGTCAACATTGTGGATGCCACCAATCGAGAGACGATTTTGCTGGAGATGCGTGCAATGAGAAACGAGCTGGACCGCGCATTCGTCCGCGGTGCCAAGCACATTCATAGTGCTGCCTCCAAATCAACATGTCGATCGACCCTCGAATCTGCTGTACGTGATTACGTCCAAGCACTCTCGAACGAGGCTAAAGAACGTCTACTTGCAGAGCTGGAACGGGACTTGGATGAGGCCCCGCCACCTTTGTTTCCGCACGTCTTTCTCTACCTATCGTTACTTGTCGGCGCCATGCTTTCGGAACTGCAGGACATGACGTCCGACGTCGTTTCCATACTGTTCTCGCTCTTTGATCGACGTGGTCACGACGTTACTAGCTGTCTGGACGTGCTTGGTCTGTTGCTCCAGCTTTCCCTCGCCGACAACCGCATGTGGCTCAACAAGCAAAACTCGGCACTATACATCGAAACAATCGAGCTGCTCTCTGAGACAGCAACGATTCAAGTCGAGCTACATAAGCTGCAGTGGATCGCCACCATGGCTCTGCACCACCTGCTCTTCGAGTGCGACGTCGAGCTCCTCCAGCACAACCGCTCAACGCTCACACAAGTTTTACCCCCACGCACCATGCACTTCGTCACATTACGTCTCGACAACCAGTAGTAATCCATGATCGTTCAACTGGTGTTGGTCGTCCATTATTGTTCAACTGGTTTTCTCTCTCCTTCGTTGACTCACTCGCTCAATGCTCGTCTACTTTTCCTCACGGGGCCTCGACATCCCTCCTTTAGGGCCCCGGATCCTCTGCCGCATGTCCAATTGGCCGCGTCTGCACTCGAAATACGCCACACGATACTCCTGTTTGTACCACAAACAACGTCGCCACAAAGAGTTACACACGAATTAGCCTGTTGCACCAATAGTGTACCCCTTATTCTACGTGCCTTGCACTCGTGCGAGTACTTGTGGTCACGCAGACACTCCTTGAGCGTCTTTGTACCGTCTGCCATGCACGTCTGCTGCAGCATACAGTCCCGAAGAGCTTCGGCCATGTCGTGACACCCTTTGCCCATCCTTGTCCAGTGTCGATCAATTCAGCGATGTCAGTAGATCAAAGCTATCAACTGATATCGTCGCTTGACAAGTATCCGGATACTTGTCAAGCGATGATAAAGTATCAGAGGAAGCGATTTTTCTAGAGCACTTCTATTGTGATATTCCACGATTGAGCGAGTCACACTTTGCAATTTTGACGACGTCGTGACTACCAGAACGTCAGAAATGATGCCACGTGGCTGTTTGCTGTGGCCGTTGCCGTCGCTTTTGCAGCTCCTGCTGCTGAGTGTCTTTGCAGCTGCTAGCGTACAGGCTGAGTACGGTCCAAGAGATGCAGTGGTGGTCCTCACGGAGAAGAACTTTGAGAAGGAGGTGCTGCAGAGTCCGGATTATTGGCTTGTCGAGTTTTATGCTCCTTGGTAGGATTGCTCACACACCACCGCGATATCAGGGGACACAAACTGTCGTGTACTTAGCAAATGGGTACTCGTACTTAATGCACCAAACTCGTGTGTCGGTTAGGTGCGGACACTGCAAGAAGCTGGAACCCGAGTTCAAGGCGGCGGCCAAGAAACTAAAGAAACAGGTGAGTGAGTGGATGGGTGTGTGGGGCTGCGCGTGGAGTTGTTACTTCACGACTACTTTTGAGCGAGGGATCCTTTTTTATCCTGGATACTATCGCTTGGATGACTCGATCATTGGATATTGGCGTTCTTGACTGATTGATGATGGGCATTTCTTGCCTATTGTAGGCGCGTTTGGGCGCTGTCGATGCCACAGTGCACCAGCAACTGGCGCACAAGTACAAGATCAAGGGGTACCCGACGATCAAGGAGTTTGGCGCCAAGAAGAAACGTCCACAGGACTATCGTGGGGGACGCACAGCGCAAGAGATTGTGCAGTACGTGCAGCACTCCCCCCAGGCGAAGAAGCAAGGGGTTAGCAGCGCCAACGTGGCGACGCTCGAGTTTGAGAACGTGCACGCGTTCTTGAAGGCCGATCGGCCGTCGGCCATTTTCTTTGGCAGTCGGAAGAGCAGCAAGAAGAAAACGCCGCCAACGTGGATGGGCAGCTTGGCGGAGTCGTTCATGGAAGGCACGAAGAAGAAACGAAGCTCCAAGGTGCAACTGGCATACGTGCCCGGCTCAGATGGCCACATTGCCGAGTTCTTTGGGCTGGACGAAGACCAGCTTCCTACCATCATCTACGTGTACCCGGTCAGTCAGAAGTACGCGGTGTTGGACGGGGGTATTGTGAACGAAGCTGTCGCCAAGACGTTTATCAATGACGCGTTGGCAAACACCGAGGAGGCCGAGCAGGACGAGTTGCTACCTATCGTGCCTCTGTTCCCGTTGCCTGCAATGGCAAAGAAGAAACCCGTGGTCGCATTGGAGGAACTGAATGTGGATGCTATTCGTGATTGTGTGGCCAAGCAGAACAAGATGTGCGTTGTGGTGGCCAAGGAAGACACAAAGTTGGTGCGCTCGCTAGCGAAGAAGTACCGCCGCGACCCGTTTGTCTTCTTGGCCAGTAAGCCGGACGCGCCGGTGTTCCAAGCTCTGACTGATTTCGTTGGCGAGACTGCTGACGTGGTTGTCATGAGGTCCGGTCGGAAGATGAAGTACTCGGGTACGTGTTTGCGATGTGTTCGAGTTTTGCATGGATAATGTGTGATACTATGGATAATATGTGGTACTGATGTTGTTCTGACCATTTGCCGAGTTGTTTATCATCACTTGCAGCCCTCTCCGGTCCAAGCGATGAGCGTGCTATCTCAGAGTTCCTAGACAAGCTCATTGATGGCACGACTCCGCTCTCGGTGGTCGCCGGTGACATGCAAACTTTTGCCGCGGCGGTCACTGGCGCGTCGGTCCAACACGAAGAACTGTAGACTCTTTGGTGGAGTTTACAAGGAAGAAGGACGATGGCAGGAAGACCAGAGGCAGGCAGACGACAGGCGCGGTAGTATCCATCGGTATTTACCACAATGGAATGCAGCAACGTCTCTGTCGAGTTCATAGCATATCCGTCTTTATTGCTTCCTGTCGATGTCCTTGTCAGCAGCGGGCTACCGTCACACAGCAGCAACCAGCTAGTTGGAGATGAAATCCGACCGCTTGATGCGCAGTCGTGAGCCGACTTCTTCATCCATGGCTCGATAGGCCGGGATCGTGTCGGCCCGCTCGCAGTAGGCGTTCGACGGCAGCACGTACGCAAAGCAGCGCACGAGATCCTCTGGATCGTGCTGCTCTTCCGATAGCGACATGGACGCTGCAAGTGCCTGTTTCCGCGTCGCTTTGTCCCGCACGCTCTCGGGCAAAGCACTTGCTCCTCGAAACTGACGTCGCACGAGATGCGGGATGAGATCAGCTTTGATGCTGGCAATGTACTTCTTCTCCTGCAGCAAGTCGAGCACCCAGTGCGAGAAGATGTAAAAGTGGCCGTCGTACAGATCCGTGTGCAGCACAAAGTGGCTACGTCGCTGGAGCAGACTCTTGGCCACGTCCAGGTGCTCGTTCATATGCACGGCTTGCGACACGAGCACGAGGCGGTTCTCCTCGTTGCGCTCGCCCTCGACGAGTCCAAAGCAGTCGGTCATGTCCTTATCCCGTCGAGGTTTTGTCGCCGGTTTCTTGCTCGGTCGGACAGCTGCTTCTTGTCGAAGGACCATCGTGACGCTCGCGTCGTTCATCCGGTGAAAGTCCGCCACGTTATGGAGCACCGCGTCCGTGATGAGGTCGCCAGCCAGCACGATAAAGTCCCGCTTGATCTTGTCGGCTACTTCACGGAGCGCCTCGGCGGTCTCAGTGTTCTCCGTTACTTCACACAGCTCAATGTGGATCTTCCCGTCAAACTCGCGCGTTGTATAGTCTTGAATGGCTGGTAGTAAATCGGATACCGTGAGCACGAGCACTTCCGTGAAGTGGGAGGCTTCGAGCAGCTGCAACTGGTACCAGAGCAGCGGCTTGCTGTTAGCAGGTAGCAGCGTCTTGGGCGTCTCTTCTGTCAGCGGGTACAGACGAATACCGCGGCCACCAGCGAGGATGATGGCTTGGAACTCGGCCATGCTGGAAAAGAAGGGCTCGGATGGGCTACTAATAGCGTCTCTCAGATAGCGCATTACGGTTCAAGTCCTTTTACTGAACGCGTTAGAGCGGCTGGAGATCGCGTTAGAGCGACGGATAGCGAAGGAATAGCGCTCGCGTTTCGGCTTGGATTCGTTTGTCGCGCTATTATCGCGTGATTCGTGCACTCGTGACCGGTCCTTGCTCTATCGATAACCGGTAGTACGTAAGTGAAAGAGCGCTGGAGACACACCGTTAATGCAAGTGAGCTACAACAAGTTACGACAGTGATCGACCTCTTCCACATCCAATAGAAGGGCTGCCCAAGGGAGTTTATACCGGATGTCGGCTGATGTGCCGCAATACTGTTGCAGACTTCACCCACAGCCACACGAGTAGATGCTGTCGCTAAGTTATGCATCACTGAAGTCGTCACCAATGAACCGCTCAGTACCAACAGCACCGAAGTACGAAAATGAAAGGGAGAGAAAGAGAGAGAAGAGAGTGGGTAAGAGCTGCAATTGCTGGCGCTGATGCTAACGTTTAGTTCAGTCTTGCGGTGCGGTTATTGCCGGTAGCGGGTAAGTCCTGGCGCGCGTTCTCCATTGCCTTTGCGGTCATGCGAGCGCATTAGCATCCCCAGGATCAGGATGAAAGGCGTCAGAATCGTGGATACGACGCGGACGAGGAGTGTCTCGCGCAGCGCGAACGTACGATCTTTCAGCTGTTGTAGCACGTTGTTCATCATGACTTTTTACCTGGCGGACGATCGACGAGGGATGGAATTTGAGCTGGCGGTGCGAACGTCTCCTCTTTGAAGCACCTTTCGCTTACAACGACACTGAATTCTTGCATTACCAAGACCGACCGCGACCATACATTTGTCAAAGCGAGGAGTAGTTGCACGTGGTACACACGCTAACATACGTGTTCAATCGGATGCAAATCAGAGAAAGCACTCGACTGACGTGATCAGCGAGTAAGGAGGAGAGGCTTGTTCAGTTCTGGTAATGTCAGTCGTAAAATACGTGGAAGCAGGCGACGCATTCGACTTGCATAGTCCCCCAATATGAGTGCTAGTGCTCATGGTGTGGTCAGGGCTGTAGCGTTAGTAGACGATGAGTGACGTCTGTGTACCTTGTGCGGTGAGCCTGTGCGCCGTCTTTTTCGTACATTAGAGGTGCATCAGCTTAGCATCGCGATTGAGGTACGTCGCAGCGTCGATTGCCGGGGTGACGCTGTCGATCGATTGCCTCCTTACAGCAGTAAAGACGAGTACGATCGACTCGTCCGTAGAGAGCGTCGTGCAGTGCCCTGTAAAGGCTGGTCGGGTAAGTCTACGAGTCAGAGTCTCTGACGCATTTGAACTGCAAGCAGATGCCTGTCAGCATCCAGGTGCCATCGCCGTCGTCACAATCGTAACATCCGGCAACAGATTCCAGCATTCCAGCACTCTAGCCACATGGAGTGTGCACCCGATGGTAGAAACAACAGCAAGTCACTAGACCACTCAGACTCGAGTCACACGGAATCTGGAAGACCAAGCTGATCTTACTACTGGGTAAACAAGCGGATCAGGAGCGTGCAGTAGAGTCCTGGACGCTGTGACCTGTTCGACAATGTACTACCTACCACCAGCGCAGATAGCACAAAGTTCGTCTCCATCTAGACCGCTTCCACCAACAATGTCACTACACAAACTATTGACGCAATGCCACTGCTATTGCTAACGACTCGATCGACTATTCTAGGTAGTTAGCAACTCGACATGCCGGATATCGCTTTAGCAACTTGCGGTAACATGACATGTAAGTAAATCGTTCAGTCCTTCCGATACGATATGGAGCGGTGCATCAGTACTTTTTGACAGCGCCTTTACCCAAGAAGCGGTCTACGTAGGGATCGTTGTTGTTACCTATCGCTAGGTAATTGCTAGCGTACCCCGTTTCCAGCATAACGTCTGGGTCGCCCGTCCACACTAGAGCCTATCGGTCGTTTTGTTGTCCTTCCTTCCACAGACTCATTTCATGATGCCACGCTGGTGGTCGTGTACTTTCGATGATGATGATGATGGTGGTGTTCCACGCATGTGCTTTCGAGGTATCAACACGAGTCAGTTCTAGGAGCACGTAAGTCAAGCCTGGATACTCGAGACATCTACAATATTCCATCTACCCAGTGGTGAGAGATCGAAAGCCTCCTCAATCAAGCCTCCCAGCCCGATCCTAGACATGCTTCCGGCTGGTGATGCCTAGACGCATACATTACGTGACCATCCAAAGCGAGCACTATTTCGCATGATGATTCTCGTCCGCCCTTGGTCCGTTCGTCTCGTGTTTCCACGATGTCTTGGACTTGCGACCAAGTAGTTGATCGTTATGGTTCGCACACCATGACTACCGCAGCCGCATATGGCACGTCAATTGATGCCAGGCTGACTTTACTCACCCGAGACGTTGTCATCGTCGCCGCAGACAGGTGCTGTTCTTCTCCACCTTCCATCCGTTCTCTCGGATTATCCATCCGACTATGAATCCGTCCCTCTCCCCAACCTGGTCCAGCGCGTGCGACTTGCATACCTTTACACTCGTGCTCGCCATCTCCATAAACCGAGTCGATGCTACGTCGGAACGATTTGACAAGTGATTAGAAGTCTTGCACGCAGTGTTTCGCTGCTTACGAACCGGCGCGTAACACAGTCTCGAGCTACAAAGTCTTGAAAAAAACATCGACAATATGTTCACCGCCCTCCACTTCGTGTCCTAGGAAACACCGTTGCCAATCGTACATGGGTCAGTTATACTGACGCAAGCTGTAGTCGCAGGAGTTGTGCGATGAAGCAGTGGTGTTGGACGTTCCAACCAGAGCGTCTATGCGAAATTCCTCCGCGCGCCTGGCCCACGTGTTGTTGACGACATGACACACGGGCGTGTCAGGCACAAGTGAAAAGCTCTTGACGAAGCGGTCAGCAATGTCTCTAGCCAACGAACGAGGACGATTGAACACAGCGATGAGACCTTCAATTGTTGAGACCTTCGGGGGTCCGTGGAATGTACGCTTCGCAAGTCTCTCGTAGAGTTTACGGTCTCAATCGACTATGGAAATTCCAGCCGCTGGCTCAAGTCGCTACCATTACTGATTGCACACGCCCGGGTTTGTGGAGATCCCATCCCCAGGGCACACAATCATACGCTCCTGATCGAGCATCATGTGGCCGGCGGCATGGGGTGCATTCGTTTTCTTGACATCGCAGTGCTGCCACTTTGCAATTGAACGTTGTCGCAGCCCTTGGCATCGTCTTCCTTTTCATGGTCGCTCGAAACGCTTTGAGGGCCGTGGTTTTTGCGGCCTTGGCCATGTGTGTCTCCATTATGGACGCTCGCGCAGTGACACGCTCGCTCGCGGAGACAACGCCTCCAACTGCTCCGGTGTCCACGTCGACTGGGTTGAACAAACCAACGGAGACAGCTCCCAAGGAGCCACAGTCGTTTACGTTAGCAGAGTTCAATGGACCGAGCGAGGCAAGTCGAGTGAAGCCGTTCCCGAGCGACGATGGGAAAAACAAAAGCGGTGGCCAAAGCGGAAGCGGCGTCACCCGCAAAACCAGGAGCGAAATCATTGCGTCCTTGACAAGAGGAGACGAAGCGAAGAGCAGAAGCTCCGTCTCCTCCCGTGATATCAAGTCCGAAACGAGTACGTCGTTGGATCATCGCTCAGGTGCTTCCTCTCGTGACGAGACAGAATCGAGCGCAACTGGCAAGACAGAGAAAAGCTCAGGTCGTCGTTCAACTAAACAGGATAAGGGGAGTCGCGAGAGTGAGCGAGAGGATGATGATGATGATGACGACGAAGATAAAGATGCTTCTACCAAGCTTACAGATGCTCAGCGGAAGGCAGCGAAGGAAGCTCGCCACAAGGCACAATTGGAGCGTAAAGCTAAGCGACAGGCTCAGAAAGAAGAGTGGCGTAAGATTAGGGAGCAGCAGAGAGCTGAGCATGAGGCAGCCAAAGAGAGAGCGAGGTCTGAGACTAGCGCCATTCAAGAAGCTGCAGGTGTAACGAGGAACTTGACGGTGACGAAAGAGCAGGTGTAGTCAAGTGGTTCATGGATGTATCTCGTGCGTGAGTATGGCAGCGTTTTCGGCTGTCGACAACATAAGTATAAGTGGAAGGTATCATGCAACTCGATTCAGAAGTTCACTTGAGCGTTGCTAGTAAGCTGTACCAGTGTACTTTTGTCAGGCGAACATCATACTAGGCTGCGCAACTACACGATCTCGCTCGTACTCAGCAGCACACCACGTTTCCGACCCCCACAACTCACTGGACGCTGCTTGGGCTGAACAGATCTCTCTTAGGCGTCTGGGTCTCATTTGAATCCGATACATTTTCTCGATCGTCAGGACTGTCAACGCACAGTCCGCACTTGACGGACAACGTTTAGGCTCTACCGTTTGCTATGAAAGGTGCTGACACGTCTCGACCTTACCTTCGTGTGACTCGGTTTCATAAAGCAGAGTTGGTCTTCAGTACAAAGGCTGCATACGGTAGTGTAAGTCAGTGATGATCTGTCTGTACCGGCATTGACAGAGCGACGTAAAGGTTCATGCCGTGGTTTGACAAAGACCGACAACGATGATGCAGCTCAAGTGGCTTTTCCAATGAGACCGGTCATCCTCGTCCGAACAAACTTTGTACAGAGCTTCGGTGTGACGGTCGGTGTGTTCACTGCGTACCTGCTGGCTCTAAGGCTCTTGCCAGTGTCGTGACGTCGTCACTCACTCAGCATCTTGTTACTATGTGAAAACCCACACAATTTCGCTCGTATCGCTCGCCATCAACGATCTCTCCACTGTTCCCACTTCACTGCTTCTTGTGTCATCGCTAGCTCCATAGCAACAGTACAGCAACAGTACAGCTTGTCTTTCGATGCAATTTTCGGATAGAGCTTTGCTCTCGAGTGACGCCGCGTATGGACTTTGTTCTCGTTAAGCAACGCCGCAGGTCTGCAGCTATATCGTCTAGGAAGAGAAAAAGAAAAGGTTTGTTTCGTATCGTCTCAGTGTCCGACCGCTGGAGTTAAGTAGTAGTTGAAAGCAATGACAGAGGCTCTACAGATGCTCTACATGGCGGTAGGGAGGAGGTTTGGTCGTCATGTACAGCTTCGTCGAGCTGCTCGTGGTCGAATCCGCAGGTTCAAAAGAGTATACCACTTGGACTGGGCCAATGCATACGTTCTTGAGTATCATGCTATGGTGGGAACGCGATTCTACAGTGACTTAGTATCCAAAACCAGGTTTAAGATGGAAATCACGACATGATGGCGACTGCGGTTTATGTGGATGCCATTGCGCCGCTTTGTCCTGCATTTAGTTCTCGTTACAGCTCTGGCAGCTATTATTCATCAACCCATTTTGTGCCAGACTGTTTGTTTTTCAGCCTGCTTAAAAAGGGTCCCTGTTGCATTTTTCCTGCTGGTAGTTACCGGCACGGACGCCGCCGAAAGCGGTTCCGACAGCTATTAATTGCCTCAGTATGCTGGACAAAAAGCTCGTGTGGCAATGGAGTCGTCGATCGCATACTGGTCCAAGCAATGATCGACAAACACTCTCTACCGGTAGAGATACCGGGTGTGCAGACACGATAGCCTCTCGACAGTTATACTCCATTCCATTACCTCTATAATTCTTAGATGAAGGTATTCACGACGCAAGAGAATGTAAATACAAGTGATGTTTCCTTCAATAAGTATATATCAGCGCGTCACAGTGTACACATTCAATGTGCCGAGCAGCTAAATAGGGGAAAAGTCAACCTGCGAGGTATGCTGAACAGGCGCACGGTAGTATCCATGGCACTTTACGAATGATATACTTACTGACTGAGTACTTAACCACTGCTGCGCGATAGGAATGCCTAATTCTTACAAATGGGTTTTGGACAAAGTTCCCACGGATAGAGCTCATGCTGCAATATCCACCTCATGAGCTTCAATCGCTGTGGTAAATGACAGCTTTACAAACATCCACTGCCCACGAAGTTACAATGGACGAGGAGGTTTTCACTCATGCTTCGTCGACCAAGTCGAGCAGGAAATGCACTGGACCGATGATTAAACGGTTCCAGCGATGTACATCCCTTCTGCGAGATTACGGAAGCTTTCGGTGGGGCACGCAACTGTGACCGGCAAACGACTGGTATGCCCGAAGCATCAAGGATCACATGCTGCACTTGCGACATGACACGAAGACCCTGCTGCCGTATTAAGACGTCCATTCAGTGAAATATGGTTCTAGCAACGGCCGACCTGCACAGTCGAACCAACTGCTTGGTCTTTGCTTGGTTCGGTCCTCCTCCACGGCTGCTGCAATAGTGACTTGTCCGGGTACGATAGAAGCCTTGCTTGTTCAAACGAATGGCGAGAGCGTCCACGGAAGTTTGGCCCATGATGATGCTGACTAGATATACAATAACGAACGAGCCCTCGCCCGTCACAGTTGGCATCGGTATTGACGACTGGGTACATCAAGTAGCCGGCCAACACACCGCATTCCGTCCGCGAGTAAACATCCATGAAATAACTCTGCAACGGCCGTCAAGGGTCGCTCGCACGCAGTGCTTGTACCATAGCATTCTGATAATGATGAATCCAGTGCATCTGAAATGGTGGCGATACTCCGTCAACTAGTAAGGACAGTGCGTACGGCTCCAAGTCGTCCCAACGATCACCAACGAGGCCACGACTCGCATACGTTGGTGGCCCCACGTCCTGAGACTTTAAAAATGCCGGTCCCGCGGGTTGCTGCTATTTCCTTGAACACGTTCGCCACCACCAGGATTTTCACTTCCACCGATTGCTCAGGTCGATTTGCGACCTTTTTCGGTCGTTCTATGCTGAATCTGGTTGAGAATCTGGAGAGAGCGCCTTGACGCGCCGGTACCAGCTGATGGTGGAGTCTTTTTCCTTTTCTTGATCAACACAGGAGGTGCAATTGGTGTCAGCTCTTGTTGAGCAACAGTTCGCTGAACCACTACTGATCGTGTTTTGAGCCAGTTCACAGGCTTATTTGCACATGGCGCACTTGCTTCGATGCAGCTTCTAGAAGAGGACACTCGCGACTTTGGCCCCAAAAGTCGATGGCCGGAGCCTGTCGGGGTATCGCGCTTGTATGCTCTCGAGGTGCCAGATGCCGTAGTTTTGTGACGCATGCCTTCAGCGACCGGCGACATAAAAGTCGCGTCCGTGCTGCCTGTTGGCTTCAGCGGAAACAGTCCATTCTCGGTGGTGTCAAAGTGCTCTAGATCATCTAGGTGCTCATAGATTCGACGGAAAGTTGGGCGCACCCCCCAGGCTGTGCAGCGCATGAACAAACTCAAATACGGACCGAGGCGAGCCTTCGCAGCGTCAGGCACCTGCATCACGATAACATCTTGCAGTAGCTTGTGCAAGCTACGTGTCTCCACACACTCTTTCGGGACAATCTCGCCAACCAGCAATCGGTACAAGATTTCACGCCCAAACGCACCAACATCGCAATTCTTGTGGAAACTGAACGAGCTATCCAGTATCTTGGGCTCGTCCGACGGCAGCTTGATACGACCAAAATCGGAAAGCTTAATGTCGGGCTCCCAGCTCTGCTCATACCCTTCTGGAGGCGTACGCATGAGAATGTTTCGACAAGCCAAATCACCGTGAGCGATATTGATCTCTTCATGGAGTGTAATCATAGGTAGACAGATCTGTTTCAGCATCGCCTTTGTGTCATCAAACGACAACGTATATCGACGGTGCTTGGACCCGCCTGAGTTTACGCCATATCGTCTTAAATAATCGCTCAGCTTGCAGTCCATCACCTCTAATGCGATGCAAGTGTGCTCGATGGCATCACACAGGCCAAGACATCGTAAGAAGCCCTTCATATGACGCACTCGGCGTAAATAATGCAATTCGAGTGCCGCCCGGCGTTTTGCTTCGTGCTCAGGAAACCCATCATGCGGCTTGGCGCGCTTCAGTGCTATCTTCTGTCCATTGATCACAGCAGCGGTGACCTTCCCGTCGGTTCCTTCACCGTACACTCCACCTGTGTACTCTACGTCTGTCTCGCAATTGAATAAGCCGACGTCTCCGATCACTGAAGTGCTTGTGAACGCACTGGAAGAAGTGTTCGACTCTGCTGACGTCGTGTCTAGTTCTGCCTGAAATGCGTTACTTTCGCAGCTTTCTTGGGACAAAGGTGTGAGCGTATCTGACATAACTCTCACAGACTCTTGTGAGAATCCCACCTCGTCTTGTGACTGTACGAGCACTGCATCCTCGTCCTCTGCAGTGCAATCTTGCTCACTAGCCACTGTCGACACAACTTCTTCCTTCGCTATGACGTCGTTTGATGCAAAGCTAGGATCAGGAACTAACGCTTCCACCAACGATACATCCACGTCCTGCTTTCGATCTTCTTGTGTCCTCTTGTAATCAATCTCTTCTGTTCGACTAACAGAGTGTGAGCACGACGACACCGCAGTACGAGGACTTTGAAAGGCCGGTCTTTGCGCCAACGGACTCGTAAACGTCGCCACTTGGCGTCGTAACGGACTCTGGAATGTCATGGGTCGTCGAGCCAGTGGACTCGTAAAACTCATCGAACGCCGTGCCTGTGATGCGACTGTTGCTGCAGGAGACGATGTTCGCAAGAGCGCAGGCGACTTGACGGGCGTTGGAGCCTTAAGCCGTTGCTGCAGCTTCTCGTTTGTCTTGATATTCTTCTCCAGTTTCTTCAGTGCCAGAGCTTGATCCTCGACCCGCGGCGAGCAGTCAGGAGAGAAGGAAATCATCCGCTTTCGCGTAGACGCTGACGAACTACTCTGTGCGATGCCACGAGGCACGAGTTTCGTCGCCTGCACCGACATGGCTACAGTGACCGCGCTCTTGTCCAGGTTCGGATCAATTGCTGCCGTTTCGTGCAGCGTCTGCCTCATACTTGTCTCGATCGGCGACCGCATGGACGCGCGCCAATCAGGAGACCGCAGCTCCAATGCATCGTCATCGTTTGCAGCGCTTCCGCGATTGTCATTTGTACGACCGTCGTCCTCCAAATTCACTGAATTGGTCGGACTGGTACACTTTTCATCGTCCATATGTATCGAGCTGGTCTCATTTGTACGACCACCATCGTCCATATTTTGGGACTCCTCTGCGTCCATTGCTGGATTCCTTTGCCTTGCAGCTGTCAACTGCTCCGTCCGCCGCTGCAACGTAGCGACAGGATCCATCGTCTCGTCTCGCTCTTCTTTGGGTCCATCTCTAGACTCTGGCTGCACCATTCTCATCTCTTGTAACGCCATCATTTCGTGCATTTGTTCGCGCTTCTTCCGACGTAGATAGCGGTCGTTCGACGAGCTCCACGTCCTTGCAACACTCTGGGCGACGTGCCCAGCGCTCGAGAGAGACGGTGGACGAATGCGCGGGCGCTTGTCCGCTTTCTCTTGCGCGGGTGGCCGACTGTGCGAGGTCTTGGGCGGCATCCGAGTGACGTATGGAGAAGCAGCGTGGGTTCAAATCTGCCGGAAAATTTGGTCGATCACGCGGTCGGACAGTTTTTGACGAGTGAAAGTCGGAGGGTTGGAGGATCGTTGATGGCGAGTGCAACGGCACGTCTGAGCACCCTATTTCGTGCAATAGGTTACATGTATCTTCGATAAATGAGCTATCTGACGCTTTATTATGTATCAGTTAGTTACCGTGGTGCCTGTGCGACGATTTAGTTAGGGAAGCGGTACAGAGTGCTGACGTTATAGGTGGGACCGTGCACCTCATTGAAGTGGAAGAAAGATGGTAATTTTCTGCTTATCTGTGGTCGAATTCGTCCAGACGTACGTACCCATTAGATCGAGCTATCGACTTTCTTTTGTAAGGGGCGTTGTAGATTGCATGGTTGTCTTTGGAGCTACTGAAGCGTTTGAAGGATGGTAGTGTGCGATAAGGATCTGAATTAAGATGGTATCAATTATGCGCTTTTGTTTGTCGTCACTATGAAGCCAAACAGGGGTATCAAAGCCAGCAGATTTCTTCCTTCTATTCTGCAGAGGAATCCTCGCACAACTCAAGCACTTAAAAAAGGCCTCCGTTAAACTAGCTACAGTTCTCTCGAGTCGTCTCTGAATCGTTCCTTCTACCGTGATCCATCTCATAACTTGTCCTCCCTTAAGCTACGTACAAATCTCGGTCAGATTTAGAACTGTTGTTCGTTAGTGCGCATTTCAATCGGTAAAACCGACATGAGTAGAAATATTTCCAAGCCGATTCGCAGCTCGCAATTTGTGATAACCGGTTTTGATCCGATCTTGCCAGCTTGGCTCCAAACCGGGTCTAATCTTGTTCGCATTTTTTATTAAAGGTCTCATCTGTTCGCACTTAATTAAAGCATCATCTGTTCGCACTTGTTAAGGACATGCTTGATGGTCATCTGCTAGTATATCCACGGCGACGACCTATGAGGTCTAGCTTGACCTTTAGTCGGACATAATTCTTATGTTCAGTTGGTCGTGCTATAAATCGGCTACTTATTGTACTGCTGCGTGGCTCCTACAACTCGCATCACAAAGCGACTGTTTAACTTGGATGCATCGTGGTGAACAAAGAAATTTGCTGGAAATGGTTGACGATTCAGCCAAACAGGTTCAAATCGGCGTCGGTGTAGATCCGCCGTTGTGGCACTTCGACAAGCCGTTCCTCCGGATTTCTATTCTTTGGCAACGTAGCATATGAAGGGTATTCTGATCTATGACTATTCAACAGGATCGAATGCAGTGAAGTAAATTGGTACCATGGTCGAGGATGCTTATCGAACTTCGATGAGCTCAACGTTTCCCCTCTCATCTATGCTACAAAACTTCAAAATGTCAATTGTTATAAAATACAGAATCATCTGGTTGTTTCATCGCATGGGTCCGTTCAATAAAATTATCGACATCTGACTAGCTTGACACAAATGGAATTCCTGTTGCTAAATCCAGGTACTCGTGTTGAAAGTTCGGTGAACTGCGCAACTATCTGCTTTTTGTATCTTTTACCCGCAATCATGTTGACCTTGAGTATGGATAGTTCTGCAAGTAATCTACGCGCGCGCACGACATAAACTCATTTGTATCAGTCCTGACCCGATTCGATCGTCTTCGACTAATATGCGTAACAATTTAATTAGTTCCAATCAACGACAATTCCGTTTTTTGTGGTTCAGAAACCGTTCGCATCTCTATCAACCATCTCTGCATATAGCCACTGCACTATAAGTTATAGCCAGAATGGGCAACGTAACTTTTCAAAAGATTATTTATCAGCATTTGGCTTGTAGCAGCATTGCACGGTATGCAATGAACGACATCTTCCATAAATTATGTTTCGCATACACCTAAATCAAAACCGAAAATAAGGCTCCAACTGGTGGTATGGGCGATGTGGTCAATACAGAGCTTTGCGGAAATACTACAATTATCCTGTTATCTCCCTCAGAATCATCAAGCAAAAAGAAAACAATGAATCGAGAACATCTCATCGAGGGCCGCATTTTCCAATCTTCTCATCATTTTTGATTCATCCTCTGCTTCGGCCAGTCTTCTGGTCAATTCGACACGTTGCTTCGAGCTCTTGGCTGATTAACTTTCAATATTGGCTACTGATTTATCTTATTACGCTCTTCTGGTCGAGAAATAGGGTGTGTGGTAGTAGAAATTGACAGTGATTCTGATCTTTAAAAAGGTTCATACATATATTTATGAGTCGCGATGTATAAGTCGGCTTATTTAAGTTTTTACTACCTCGTACCGGTAGACGACCTCGTACCGCCACCCACATTCGATCTGCAGACAATGGCGATGGCGGTGGAACGCCGCATAAATAAAGACATGACGCCATCCTACATTAGCCAGATCTTGGCCGTCATACGTATGATGGGTCCAACCCGTGACATATGCCAGATTTAGGACACCAGTGACATGCAACACGACACTTTTGCTGTCGGTTCTGCAATTTTGATATGCTGCATATTCTCAGCTTCAAAAACAAAATTTAAGCCACACGTCCTATACTTCGGCCACATACCAATGTGGTGAAGTGATTCCAAATCGCGGACCTAGAGTGCAGTGAAATAAAAGTTTAAAAAGTAGATACTACGGAGAGAACACGACCTTGCGACGAGCAGAATTTGCAAGACCAATAAATAAGACCTTTGCCAGGGTAACTAAAGATGGTATTGAAGGAATTCGACCACGGTCCTTTATTTATAGGTACGATTTCAAGGATTTGTTTTCATTTCCCCATGGTTGACCAAGGCCCTTCATCGGTGGACCTAGTTACTCATCGGTAGAAATCGATCCCTCAAGGTCAAGCTTCTCCTGGCCAGCTACAATGAGGAACCAGAGCATGTGCCAGTACATAGTAAAGGAGTTGAAACATGAAAAGATATCAAATGCTACTCAATTTGAGGTACACGTAACACGACTTCGTCGTGCGTAAAGAAACTCGATAAGTGTACCCGGGGAAAACCTTCTCCGGGGAAAGATTCACTTTTTACCCCTTCGCAGACAGTCGCGCGATAAGACTCAATTGCAGAGCGAACGCAATAAAGTTTGACCTGTGGGTTTATCTTGACTAGCACCCCTTAAGACCCGCTATTGGAAGCGTAATCTCCCACCTGGTGGTTCATCATAAAAGTAAAGGCTAGGCGGTAGATACTCCTTGCGACAAACAATGAAAAAGTCTAAAGACTACAATCTCCCTGAAGAATTTGATTATAAGTTCTCTCTCGATCATATCGGTCGATTAACAACCTACTGGGCACCGAGTGAATCATATACGCTCGGTGGCTTCCAGGTCGACCAAATCAAGGCCGATATTTAGATCCACTCCAATTTTTCGGAGGAGCGCGAATCGCCACCTAAAGGGTACATAAGGTGAAAGAAGTTCTATACGCGGCACCGGAGTACCCCTCTTCCAGTCAGCATTCCGGCACAGTGAGCAATTTGTGGTCTTATCACACTATAATAGTTAAGTCACTCCACCACACCACCTCCTCGAACTCAGGCTTCAATTCTAAGCGAGCCAGAATTCACGCCAATTCTTTTAGCACTTTGGCCTTAAAATTTGTAAAAAAATCCGTTTTATGCAACTAACACAACAAAAGTTTGCAATGTCTAGTGTCGACTTCTAAGTAGCCTTTATACATCATTTGTCAATACCTGATACCACTAAGGAGGGAATTGTATTGCTGCTAGATATTATATACTTTAGAAAGTAGCTTCGAGTGTAATCATTCTCCATCGATCCAAGTCCATTTCCGAGAAGTTGATTTCGTTGTTTCCATTTTGAAAGCACACAACGAATTATATCACACCGACTCAACTTTTACCAAGGGTAACATCACGGACATTCTTACATCGGGGTATTTCAAAATGTTCTTGCATATTCTCTCGATAAACGATTCTGAAACGCATGAAAACATTTACACAATGCCGAGCTTAAACTGGCAAATTAAATTCTGTATTAAAGCAATCTAAGATGGCTTTAGACGCTATGGATCAGCACCACTGCCAAAAATTTACCTTCATCCCGTCATGAGCGTTGATGTCGTCCATATTGGTAGCGAGAACTCCTTCTTTCTTCGACTGCATCAATATCATCACAGATTCACCTTCCAGTCGAGGGTCTCGGCATCTCTCTTTCCGCATAGCTCACAAAAAATTTATCTCTTCAGTGCGCACACCCGAGACTCTTATGTAAATCCGGACTGGCAAGAGTGAAAATCTTGTTGGTGAACCAAACATATGTAAAAAGCGAATTTACAACAATCAATAGTTATCGTGTGCGTACGCGGATTTATGACATAGTTTATGACGCTAAGATTGAGCGATGACATAAGAGACTTGTTCACCTTTATCCGATGTATATGCAAAAGGTACGATTGTGCACAAAAATCTAGTTATGTAAGATAGTTGGAAAACAAGACAAGGACTTTTTTTAAATCACACAACTTTACTTTAATTTACACCCTTCATGTTTATCTAATATTCACACCCTAATATCGAATATTACTCCCTTGATGAATAATGCTCAATTTCTAAGATTATTTCCTTGTCATGTAAAATAACCGATACATAAGTCGTAAGACTTATGAAATTGCATTTTATCTAGCTGTATACTGATCTGACCCATTTGCTTTTAGATTATGATGCGTTTTATATTGCATTTTTCTTATGAAGCTCATACTTTTTTTACAATGGTACCACCATCGCAAAGATTGTTTTGCTCGCTTCATGCAAATTTTAGAGACCATACGACTGCAAAGTACAGGTAAATAACATCGTCGTGTCTAATTGTATTCCATGTGTTCGATTAACATTCTGCAGTGAAGTCAAGGGTGTTAAATTTTACTCAAACGAGAAGGTTTAATCGTCTAGAAAGTCAGCTTGACAGTACTAGTTCAACACTGAAACTGATGTAGATCTAAGTGGTTTATTATATTTTGAGC